TTAGTTTTAACACATTAAGCGCAAAAAGGCGAAAAGGCCCTAAAAGTCAGCAGCAATCGACATTATTGTTGTCCTAACATCTAGGCAAACATAAACTTTAATGAATTTCACCAAAATCCAAACATGCGTCGGTGAGCATATGAAGTTATTTTGCTAACCTTTTGCCGCCATTTCGTTGGTTGCCATAGAGGCAAGTACCCAGAGTCAACCCAAATATTTGCATGAGTGCGCGAGGAAAACTCCATAGAATGGTTAGGAGGAGGATGAAGGATGCTGCTCCGGCTGTCCCTACTCCTGTTACTGCTGCTGCTGCTTCCACTAAAAACATTTTAGTTTGGTGAGAAAATTAAACGCGCACACATAGATGCTAGCACACACACCCGGCTTTAGACTAGACAGTTATATTTTTTGGTTAGCAGCCTCAAATTGCAACTTTTCGCACTTGAATATGCCAAAAACTTCACACCCCAACATTCGCGCTCGCGAAAGAGATGGCAACAGAATGTTAGAAAGAGACAGCGATTAAACCAGGGATCCCAGAAAACCTCTTGAAACTTGTAAGCCGCTGAGAAAAGGGGGGTCGCCTTCGTAACGCCCTCACATTACGCATAAATTTTGCACTTTACAAATTTGCCACGCACACGTTTGCGGCATTTTGTATAACATTTACACAGCCCACCGTAGTGGGTGAGTCCGGGGGAGGGCTAGTCGGGACAGGAAAATTAGGAGGGTTCGAGGTAACTACATATGTAAAACGTGCGCCATTTGTCAGGCTGACAGGCGGGCGCAAGGTGACACCGCTCGAGGGTCTTTCAAAACTACTGCGCCTCGGGCTTATTTAGTCAGCTTTGAATACCCTTTATAATTTGATATTAAATTTTAGTTAGCAGGGTTTAATTTAAATTTTATTAAATAAATTTTAAATTATAAGCATCAACATGGGTAAAAAGCATTCATTGTTACGTAAAAGTTTTCCTAACTCCCCGTATAAAAATGATGATGATATGAAATGATTGCAATCACTTCCAAACTTTGAATAAAATTAGTTTATGGATTTCCAGACTTTCCGAAGTTGGTTATATTAACCCTCTTGATTTCACCTATTTCTTATATGTAATCCATTTATTTAATACCTTTTAAAGTGCAGAACATTACTTTAAAAGTTGCTAAGCAAAAGGTACTCTTTTTTCCCCTTACTAAGAATAATGTTAATTATTGCTATAAGTTGTGTTCTGCAAAATACCCTCTGCCAGTGTGTTCTCGGTGATTGGGAAGAGCAAGCAAGGTAATGTAAACAAGCACTACACTAGTAATCAACTTTCTTATATGCCTCCCAACTAGTATGCCCCCTACACTTCCCCCCAGAGCTTCTCAGGCTCATGGAGCATAATGAGCCAGGTCAAAATGCTTGAAGCGCCGAAAACTCCGCACGTTATAACATCACTTATACGGTTTTCTATCTAACCCAAAGTGCACACATACACACTCATTTACAGTTACATAACAAATTAGAATTGGGTCTCGCACACAAACCCACACAAACTGACACCCTGACAACGCGACGTATGCGTAATGCGTTCCCATGTGCTGTCATTGCTGTTTTTGTTGTTGTCGCTGTTGCCGTTGCCGTTGCCGATGATGTTGCCTCTTGTAGCCTGCGGTGCTTGTAAACTTGTAGCCCTGTCAAAATGTCAAAAATATTCGAGGGTAGTCAGCGCCATTTCCCGCGCCTCCGCCCACTTTTCTTCGCACACTCTCAACGATGAGAACGCGTTAAAATAAAAAAAAAAACGAGAAAAACGGTAGCCGAAAGTGTAATTGGGCGTCGCTCGGGTTAATAGAGGTTACGCCATGGGCGCGATATTTTCGACGATGTCCCGCCCCCGCCACTTAGTTTTAATTAGTGGCTTACATTTCACGCAAAAGATATGACAAAATTTGTTTCCCGAAATGGAGCATCCCCAAGTGGCAAGATGGGTTCTGCTAATGCCTCCCTCAAATGATTTTTCCCGGAATTTCATGACGATCTTATCTGATGTTTAAAGTGAAAAGTAAAATTAGTTTTCAAAGGGGGGTTCTTCATCGTCAATGGAAATTATAGTAGTTTCGGCTTAAACAGTTTATGTTTAATAATTTTTAAATCAACAAAAGTTTAAAGAAACCCTTCTGTAGGCTCCCCAATTTAAAACCTTTTTAAGGACTTATATAATATTTAATGGTTTTTTAAAAGATTCTTCCCTTACGTAGACGATGTCATTTGGCTTTCCCTCATTTGCAAATCACAGTCACAATGGAAATGTTTCCTGCGCTGCTTTTACTTTTCCTGTTGTCAGCACTCGACCTATTCCACTTCCCCATAAATTTAATAGGGAAACCCCCTAACGAAGACTGCGAAAGCCGCGACAACAACAACGCATACATTTGTAATTACATGCAATTCATTAAAGTGTAAATACAACATAAAAAAAACTTGTTTATTAACAATTATAAGTGATGATGATGACTCGACCGAATGTTGACTCTTAAAAGGAAAGTTTTTTCCTATGTGGATTTTGATTTTGGATTTTTTTTTCATGCTAGCTTGATAAAAATATATTTTTAAAAATGTTTATTCTTGGTAAATTTTGTATAATCATTCTTTTTAGTTTTTAGGGAATAAAAATGTATATTGGCAAGGATTAATCACCTTCAAATGAAGTTTAACTTCGATGATCTGAAATTTTAGTTCAATGAAAAGTTGTAAGTCTTAGCAAACAAAAATAAAAGACAATTTCTTCTTGTGGAAAGACTTTTAACTCAAATTTATGTTTATTTAAAAAAATTTAGGTTTTTTCAGACTACAGAATGGTCCCATATAACCCTTAGGCTACCCTAGTTAAGATGGAAAATGATTCCAAAGGAACCGCAGCTAGAAACGGCTATTACTTTCCCATCCCCACCCCTTTACCAGTCAACTGCCTTACCCCTTTCCCTGTACAGGATGTGCGCAGACAAAAGGCATTTAAATTGTCATGGCAAGCAGCCTAGACGACAGCCGACTACAAGGACACGCAGAAAGGCTTGTCGCTGGTCTAAAAGTGGGTTGGCGAATGGGTGTTTTTACTGAAAATGTCTGCTCGCTTGGCTGTGCTTTTTGTGTGAAATAAGCAGTTGGGGGGAAGAAAACAACAAGAAAAAAAATGAAAAAGATATTACAGCCCGTGATGGAGGAGCACTGGCAAACATATTTACACCTTGTTGCCATATGCTTAATGAGCAAAAAGGCAAGATGAAGGATAAAAATGTAGGCGGGCAGGTAGAAAAAAACCTTAACAGGATGCCTGGCTGCCTTGCAATTGTAATTTTTGTTAAATTAACACGTTGCCAACTGTTGCGAGATGTGTGAGGTGGTAAGGTGGTTAGATATACCCCCCCTGGCTTGTTGCAGGAAGTTGTCAAGTGGCGTCGGCATAAATTCAATTAGCAAAGTGGCCTCGAGTGGTAATGGTTGAAGGAGAACTTTAAGAAGATCTGAGATATATATATATATATATATTTTTATATATACAATATTAGCTTCTGTGCATGGGCATTCGCATTTCGTTAGCCTTTTTCGACTCACAATCAGCGCAGTGAAGCGCACATCCTGTCAGCCTGAATGATTGTCCGGAGCTGTGTCCCGTTCTTGATTTAAACCGAAACTGAAATGCACACAAATGGATTCCGAACTTGACCTCGGCAGCCCTCTCCCTTCTATACGGTTCAGCCAAGCCAGTTTCTATTATTTTGTGAGCTTTATTTATACACGACTGAGGATGGGAAAAAGTACACTAAGGGAAAAAGGATAAAAATCTAAGTTTTTTTAAATAAAAATGTAAATAATCTAATCTCTTTTTCAAGATTTAAGTTTAAGGTTTACTGTAAAAATCTGAGTATAAAATTGATATTCTTTTCTCTTAAAATATATTACCATAATGTTTTAACATTTTCGACAAGTGCTCTTTATTTTTTCCCCCATTTCATTCAAGTCAATTTTGGTTTGCCTTGCCATGATTTGATGCGTGTGGGGGAGTGGCTTTGAGTGGGTGGTTTAGTTGCTGTTGGTTGAGATTTTAGCTCTGGGCCACCACTCGCCATTTATGCGCGACCCGTTGGCCTGGCGACAACATCTTTCGATTTGCACGTGCAATTTGCTTGCGGCAACCACTAAAATGTGTCACTAAATGCTCAGCACGCGAAACAGCTATGCACTCTGTATACAATACAACCCACGATCCGAGCAGCCAGCAATCAACCAAACAAAACTCAACAATGCCGCTGGGTTAGCTTAGAATAGGGTAGTAATGCAAGTGCTATGGGTTGTTTTGGCTACTAATAAAGTTTATTACAGAGTTTTTAGTAAACATTTATAGAGGAATTTCTTTGAAATTATAAGTTTTATAAAGGTAATGGGATGGAGTTTGAATGGGAATGAAAGATTGACTAGATTGTATTCTAAGATTTCTACAGTTATCAATGTTAATTTGGTATTTATGTATATGAAGATCTTTGATCACAAATTTAGGGCATATCCAAATTCGTTGCATTCCCAAACTGCACAGCTGCCTCCTTGTTCTTCTTAGTTGGTTATGCATTTGTTAAGCCCGCGAAAAGAAATTGCAACTCTAGCTTTTCCCCCATGGTTTCCACTGGTTTTGAGCTCTTGCCTTACGACTGCTGCTGCTACACGCCCAGTAATTGCCATTGCACTTGTTGTAGATGTAAATGTAGGATGTAGATGTGGTCCTTGTCCAACGCCTGCCACTCCTGCCACTCCTGCCACTCCAGCCACGCCCACCACCCTTCCTTCACCAACCATTCTGTTAACCGACCTCCTACAGAAAACCCGCTTGCACCCGTGGAGCCACTAAAAACAACCGCAACACAAAACTATTTTGTTCACGCAATGCGAAAATGCATTGTTGTTGGCGCTCTCTTGCCGCTGGCATTTGGCGTTACGTATACGCAACGTATGCCACGGCGCAATTTGCATTTGTATGCACATTGTTGTTCAAACGGGCGGCTAGAGGGCGTGGACTTTGGCTTGGTTTCCCTTGTAATTGCTTCAAACGTCATCATCACAGCCTCTTCTTGCTCCGCAACTGAATGCATTCATTGCTGTTATTGTTGGAAGGGCAGCGCTTGGCTTGGTTTAGCCCTAGCTAAAGTTTATTAAATTTGGTTTTGATTTAGCAGTCAATATTTGTATTCAGTTTCGGCATTGTAACAAAATTTTACAATTCTAAGCCTATTAGATAATCCGATAGAATGAACAGTGTATGGCGGGAAATCGGCTTTGCCCGCACGCATAAGCCAAAGAAACATCTGCGAATAGTTCGGATCAAGAAGCGCATTGCCAAGGCAAGGAAAATCTTTAATGAAAGGCAAAATGAATTGATACAGCTTCATTTCCGGAATCGAATGAAAAGTTTAATTATCAAATATCTGGAGAATAAATTAGAAGATTACAAGAACATGAAGAGGATACACAAGAGCTTAAAGTGATTGTCAAGATGAGTCATTGTAGAAATAGTAAGGGATCTGATTAAAAGAGACATCTTCAAACTTTAATTTCAAAGATTATCAAGAAATTACCAATTATTCCTGCTCTGAAAATATTTCACACTGAATTAAACAATTTTCAAATCAAAACCAAGCGAAAGCAATAGATAAAAGCCAAATCAATTTCCTTTGTTTGCCACACCATTCGGATTATGAAAATTTGAAATAAAGTTTCGTTTGGCCAGCGACCACAAAATCATTTTGAAACTGAGCTCAATAAAAATCAAAGCCACTGTTAGAAGCATTGCATTGAATGATTCGAAGAATCCAAGCCAAAATGGAAAGTTTCACCAGCATTAATAAATATTTACAGGCACGTCGCGTCCTCTTCAATGGAATGGCCTACTGGGCAGTTCCAGTCTCAGTTCTGGCAATGAAATCAAATCAAATATGCGCGCTGACGCTTTATATATCGCACCAAGGAGGGTAGCATCGTAGTAACATCGTTCGCTTTTGGTGTGCTCACAAGAATTTAAATCATCCGACTTACATGCTACTTACAAGCCAAAGCGCCTATATGTATGCCCCATAAAATGCGAGCAAGACCGAGTGCAGAATGGGCAAGTGGAAAAATGTCAGACAAATCACTGCGAAAAATCTAGTTTCTAGTTTCTTAAGAGTGTAATAGTTTGATCAGAATTTGAATATCATACTCGTACTAATGATATGACTTTCATTTTCTGAACTTATTATTGCATTTTCTAGATTTCCTATGTATAAACCATTAGTCAAAAAGTACGCAATGGAATTATAATACATTAGCTCGATGAACTTATTTCAGAATTTAAATTTTTCTCTCAGTGCCGAAGGACCAACGAAGCCAGAGGGCAGAGCCACGGAACGGAGTGGCGAACGGTCTCTGGCGGGCAGTTTTTGGACAACGCAGCAGCCTGAGACTGACATCGCCCCGGATAGACAGATAGATAGATGGCCGCCCCCACATCGTCCGCCCACTACGTTTCCTTCGCTGGCTGCAACAAAAACAAAGTTATTATTCGGGGTTTCGGACGTTCAACGATGGTTGGTGGGTCTTTGCCTTCTTATGCACACGGAATTTTTATGAGTTAATTTAATTTATAGTTTTATTATTATGTTCAGGGCATAATAATGGGCAATGGCGCGAGTATCGTGGCCCTCACTCCTTCAAGTAGTCGTTAAGCCTGGCCTTTCATGCACTTTTCAAGTGTGAATCGTCGCTACCAAACAATTTCTAGACCATTTTTGTCTTTTGGCTTTTCAGTGTTTGTTGGCAACGAACAACTTGTAAACAAGTCGAAATGGCGCATAAATTTAATTTAAACGTCGGACTGCTGGAAAGTATGCTACGATTTTTGCACTGTTGATTTATACGCTAATAAAAGCAATTTCGCTGAATGCTAAATGAAAGCAGTCTCCACAATCGGAGTAGCTGACAGATAGAAGGGGCTGAGAAAGCGAAGAGAGATTCAGGAAGTTCGTGAAAGCCGAGGAAGCCTGCCTTTGACATTGTAGACAAGCTGTTCAAGTGGTTTTCCCTTCAGCCTTCCAACCTATTTTTTGGCCATTTTGGCGGCCACTCCAAGTTTTATTTACGCAGCAAATTTAATTATTTACTCTGACTTTTCGACTTGAGTTTTGTGGACCAAACTAATGGATTGACCGCACCGACCTCTCTCCTTCTTTCTTTAGTCTAACATTATGATTAACTTTGCCTTTAGCTCTCAACTCTACGACCTTAAAGTGTAAGCCAACTTTAATTTTGGTTCTTTAAAGCCTTATTATTAATGCAAGGGAAATCAACAAATTCAGGCTGGCTTTTACATTCCGTTTTTTTTTTGTGCTGCCTACTAATATTGTTTACATTTTAATAACATGAATACCTAACATGCATTTTACATGCACATTTTCGTGGCAATTTTATTCAATGTTCGCCTGGCAACAAAACATTTAAATAACAAATGTATTAATTTTGCAACATCGAAGCGATGGTGCTCGTTAACAATAAATTTTCGCATGAGAACTAATGCTGGATGACTTTCAATTGTTTTAAAGCTGCCTAAAAATACATAACCCAAAAATATGGTTTAACAAAAGGAGGAAGTAAAACGAAAAAAAAAAAAACAAATACAAAGACAGACAAAAAAGTGAGAACCGGTTCCTGAATATTTCACCTGATACATGAATAAAATGAAAACGTATACTCATGCCTTTGGGCATTAAGGTTTAATGAAGCAATAAATTTAAAATCCGCCTTTTTTATTATGAAAAAAAAGGCTCATTGTAGGAGAGAGCAACAGAGAGAGAGAGACAAAGCGAGAGAGTGAGTGAAAGAGAGAGGGCTGTCAGTTTGGCGTGTTCGTTTGTATAAATACATAAACCTTTTTAAGCTGTCAAGTGATATGTCAAAATTGATATCCGAGTCATTTAAAATGCATGCAAATATGGCGCATCGGCAAAAAACCAACTCAACCCAAAGAGATATAGCGAGTAGTTGGACAAGGATAAAGGAGCAGCATCAGGAGGAGGACTCAAACACGTAGCAAGCAGGACTCGCAGCACATTTGCATAAATACGTTTACGTAATGTGAAATGTCAGCGACAGCGTGAAGAACTTCATATGCCCCCGAATAGCAGAGAAAGTCTTTCTCCAATCCCCAAAAAAAAAAAAAAGCAACGCACTCAATGCCAGTAAGCCTCACTTACTCGCTTCCTTTTTTGTGATGACCCCCCTTTTCTAGCAGTGCACTTTTTCAGTTCGAATTCGGTCTATATTTTTTCCTGACGCTGCATTGAAATTCATAACACATCTGATGCATAAACGCCCCCAAGCTGGCTATGGAAATTTCACGCATTTTATTAACACTGCAGGGGGCGTGGCACTGCCTGTCCTCGACATATGAGTGGAGTGGCAGTAAAAAACAAAAAAAAACAAAAAAAAAACATATACATATAAAGAGCAGAGGAAAAACCAGCGGGAAAGGCACTACAGCATCAGCGGGAGCTTAATGATGGATTTATTAATTAATTTCACTTTCATGTAGCAGTGCAAAATAATTATTGTGTTTTAAATGATAACAAACGTTATATTGTCTTTAGGCTTGAACTTCCTTTTTCCTTGGCTTGCAGATGGAAAGTTGATTATGGGAGGAAATAACAAAAATATTTACTTATTCGATTTAAAAGCTGGACGGAGATTAATTAGGGGTAAACAAAATCGCAAATCAAAGATCAACAGCCATATTTTTTTTAAGTTTTTTATATAGTTAAGTCCGATAGTGGAAAAATAGTGGAAAATAGAGTTAGTAGCGAAAAAAGTGGAAGATTTTTCTTAAATTAAATAATTTTATAAACCTACAAAAATAAATTCCAATCAAAATAATTTATGAATTATTATAAATTCACATTTTTACATTCAATTAATTTTTAAAATATTATTTTAATTGATTAAAAGTTGTTAATTGGCTATAAACCAAACTGAAAGGCATCAAAAAAGTATCCGATTAATTTAAAAGCTTCTTAAATAGTTATTAAATATTAAATATAATGCAAACGTTTTTAATTGCAAAATTTTAAAGAACACTATCGAACAAACTTTTGAATATATTTACTACCATATTATCGCAGTTGCCCTACTTAAAATCCCATTAAATATTTCTGATGTCTCTCCATCCAATCGCCTAGAGCTTTTGGCTTTCTCATTTCTGAAGCACCTTTCACAACATAATCCGCAGATCGGTGGCAACTCCTTAAAGTCGCTGGATGGCAAACATATTCATGTCTGCCTTGCACAACACTTCATTTTCCCCGGCTGCATTTGGCTTCAGTTTTCCACGTCCGCTGTTGCAACCTCATTTGTTCCTTCATCTTTCAAAAGCTTTGGAGCCCTCATCCAGTTGCCTATGTTCACTCCATCCTTGTCAGTCTGTCTGATGGCAACATATGGAGGCACATACTCCGCATTGTTGCAGCTCGTGTGTGCGGCTGGTGTTCCTGACGCTACACTAAACTACAAATCTTGGCTCATTATGCCAAATAATTTGGTTTTTATATTCTTAGCTTTAGATCTATTAAAAGGATAAACTTTTCCTGTTGATACCTTCAAAGAAAATATATCAAATTGGAAAACCTAGTAGGAATTAATATTTCGTAGGCCAGTGTTCGTTTCTGACTGCATTTTTGGGGCGCGCGCAAAACGTTGATGCATTACTTTCAACTTAACGCGTTTATTGTGCAATATAACGCGCCCCACACACACGCACACACACCCAAATTCGCGTAGCGGGAAAAAGAGAATAAGAGGAGAGAAAGCCGGAAAAGCTCCTCTGCCATTGCAAAATGTTGCTTATGAATTATTATGAGCCCCATGCACGCATTTTGCATTTGGCAACAATTTTATGGCACCGAATTTCGCTGTTGCCCTTGTCTGCCAACCATTTGCCAGCCCAGCCGAAAAACTTTTCACAGGCCGCATTGGTTGGTTGCAAGTTGCTAGTAGTAGTTGCTGTTTAGTTGCAGCAAGTTGCATCCATGACCATAGAGACGGCCCACAGTTTTTGGGGCCATTTATGAGTGATTTGCCAACTGGTTTTGTTTGGCCACACACACCGCATCGTCGCGCGTTCCAATTTAGCTCCGCTGCTCCGAGCTCCAAACTTATTTCCAAGTGCATAATTCATTGTTTCGCCCACATTATTTTCATGTCATAAGTTGGGCAGCTGTTTGTTGCCAGTCTCCGCTGTCTCTTTGGCAATTGGCTACAAGGCATATGAAATTAGTTCTATTTTAGTTACCAACTGCCACTGTCACTGGCAATATTCAACCGAAAAACTTCTCGCGACGTGCAATGGAAATATAATTTCGCTGAGCATTTAATTGAATTGTTAAGCTTTTGAAATGGCTGCAGGAAAAGGAGAAAAAAAGAAGATGTAAATGCTGGAGTACACGGAAGACAGCTGACATTATGCCATTAAAACAGAGTTTTGTACACAAAAAGTTGGGTTGATGCAATCATTTGGGAAACTAGTCAGTCGGAAAGGGAATAACTTATCAGTTTATTTATAATAACTTAAGATAGTAAGGTTCTGAGTGCAGTTAGTAGTTAAGCTTTCCCAGTTTATTTTCCATTTTAAAACTTAGTTAAGTCAGAATTTCTTAGCTTAAACCCATCACATATCCCCTTTAACTCCTCCATATGTTGCTTTGAAAGAATTACCTAACGTACATTTGGCCCGAGTTAAATATATTTTTTCCTGTTTCTGCTTACGCTTAATGCATTTGGCAAATCTAGTTAGCTGCTGCCGGCAAGTGCAAGTTCTTGCTCCATTTCCACACAGCGCCACTCAGCCGAGCTGGTAACATCGGGTCCAAGGGGCTAAAAGTCTAGGTCCTGAAGCTGTGCACCTTTAAGCAAATTCAAACTCGATTTGCACTCAAACTAAATGTGTTTACTTTTCACTCGCAGGCAAAAACTATTTACGAGTGCTACACGACTCTTCAGTGGGTTGGGGCAACCTTGCCTCCGGCGGCTTAGTTATTTACATTTGACGAAGGTGGAGGTGGAAGAGGTACAGCAGCAGCATCAGGACACCATCTCTACCTTTTCGGTTTTATCTGGGAATGTGCGCCATTTCGTGCACCTTTCAACGCTGCCATGCAAAAGATGCTTCATCAGCCGCTGAATGCTCCTTCTTTTTTCTCAACGGACAGCTTCAATCGCTTCCAAAATAACCGGTTGCTGATTGTTTTTCGCCGGAGATGTTACCTCACAGAGAAAAAATTCATAAGCTAACAGAAACT